GCAAAGAGTAATTGCCTGATATATAGGATAATGAAAGCAAACATTAGGAAATTGAAGTTGTTGGTTAAATCTGGCGTCTTCATAAGAGACTGAAATAGCAGAAATGAAAACAGAGAAAAGGAACCGTGAGAAATGTGTCAGCCATATTGAAGTTCTGGCCATCAGCGCCATGCTGAGATGCCCAGAAGCCCTAACCCTCTAGTCCAGAAGCGAGAACCTGGTCTCACCTGGCTGGATGGCTGGTTTAGAATTACTCTGTCTGAAATCCTGATGCCAGTGGTTAATCTACTGATCAATTTCTGCTGAAAGTTAAAAGATACAATCACATGTGCACACCACCCCTAAAGAAAACAAGGAAATGTATAATGGAATTTGGAAACATTCTTAGCACAATGGATACTTTTGTAAAGCTCTGGCTTTTAAGGAACTAAAAGGTAGTTGCCTTCTTTTTGTATCTCCCAGAACTGCTCAGTAGGGGCAATATTTGGGTGATTGAATGAAATGAATGAATCTGAAAAACAAATTTCAGAAAGAACCCTTACTTACTTACATCACTGTGTGGGAGGAATGAGGCCTTCCTGGAATTTGAGGAATGAGTGACACCCCCAAACCAAATCATATACTATGCACTCATAATTACCACTCTCCTGGCAACTGGTAAGACCCAGACATGCTTGTTAGGCCCCTACAGTGCTGTGCGTATGTGTGAGCACATTTGTGAGTACACACATGGGTATGCACCCCACTAACACTGCAACTTTACATCCAGTGGGGGATGGTGGGCAATAGTTTGCACAATTGTTTGCACTTTCTGAAGACTCTTGAGAAAAGTGAAAAATGAAACTCATGTGTCATTAGCATATTGTTCTTACCCCAGATGGTGCTGGTCAGCTTCAAGGAAATTTATGTTGTCGTAGTGGAAGTGAAAATGCCAGTTGGGACATGTCACTGGGAACTGTGATTTTTGATGCTCATATGATCCTTCTTGAAAGCTCTTGCAGCCTTTGATTATCTTTGAAAGGAAAATGGTTCTCATTTAAACGAAGCAGGTCACATGATATTTCTGATTTGTCAGAGGCAGACAAACTGGATGGCTGAGCTTGGCGAGCCCTGGGAACACCAGCCACTGTTTCCTGAGTAATTGCTTTACCTCTGGGGTCAGATGTCCTCTTGACAATAATATGATGATTGAGAGGCTGTATATCTCTAGCTGTTTTCTTTTGAATCTTTTTTTTTTTTGATTTATTTATATGTGCATACAAAACTGGAGTACAGGCCAGAGGTGCAGGGGTGGTGAGAGGATTCACCAGAGACAGAGTGGGGAGCAGATCGTGGAAGTACACTGCTGAGGGGAGCAGCAGGCATGCCAGGAGAGGTCTGCCACGCCATGTGGTCACCTCCACCATGTGGTCACCTTGGGGCAGGCAGGGATCGAACTCATGCGGAAGTGGCTTTAGCTTCTTAGTGCTGTGCTTTAACCTGCTGTGCCATCAGGGAGGGCTTCTTTTGAGTCTTTTTAAATGTTGAGAAGTAGCTATTTTGAAGGAAGAGGAAAGACAAAGGACAAAGCAGAGACATAAAATTCTTCCATGTTCCATTGCATAAAGTACCCCACACATAATCCTGTCTTTCTACAGAAAAAATCACTCTCTCTCTCTCTCTGTCTCCTTCCTTCCCACCCTCCCTCCAACTTTGGGCTTCTCTTTCCTGTGTCCATGCCCATTTCTTCTGTTTATCACGAATTTCTCTTTTTTTTCAGAATGGTATTTGCAAATAGCTGAGAACCTGAACTCTGCCCAGGACCACACTGCCATCTTTGGGAGTGTTGGCAGCTGGGGTATCCTCAATGTTGGGTCTATACTTGGGGGCTGAAAGTGAAAGTGTTGTATGAAAGTGTTGTATTTCATTGCTCCACAGGATACTTACTTTCAGAATTCAAAAGAGACTTTGGAGAGATGGGGCTCCTCAGATCCTCAGATGGATGCTCTTAATGGGGCAACCCGGTGGCAGGACTGGTTCACATAATCGTCCTTCTTGGGTAGTTAGCGTCTTTCCCTTTCTTACAGCATTTTGGGCACTAGGATAATAAGCTTACCTCAGAACCATCACAGAAGCCGATGGCTTATGCTGTGCCTCCATCATTCAGGATAAAACTCTGCACATAGCTTTTTTAGTTGTTTTTAATAAACTCTTCTGTGAAAGATCTATTTAACTGTGGTTAGGTAAGAAAATGTAAAAAGTACGCATTCTCAAACCGTGCCCAGTGTGTGTGTGTGTGTGTGTGTGTGTGTGTCTATGGATGTGTCTGTGTCTCTGTGTTTGTGTCCGTGTCTGTGTGAATATTGGGGGAGAGAGAATAATGACATGAGTTGGGGAAAGACTACATATAGGAAGGAGTTCCTTTTACATTCGCAACTTTTCTCCAGTTTGAAATTACATCAAAATAAAATTTCATAACAGTAGTGTGTAGGGAGCAGGACAGGGCCATCTAGAAAAATGGATCTAAACCCAAGGAAAGGGTCTTGAAAAAGTGCCTCACTCTGTTATCATAACCCCAACTTGGAACAGTGCCACTGCACTAAATTCAGCCTGTGTGTAGCCCTGATTCGTGTTCCTGCATCTCGTGGTCAGCGTAGGAGACAACACCTGGAAATGAAATTAATGGAATTTTTTCGCTAGCTCTTATTCATCCAGGGTCTCCGGTTTGGCCTCAGAGATGGGGTTTGGCAGACCGCGTCCTGGTTTCAGGAAGACCACCCTGAGCCAGAGCATGAGGAAGGTCCTGGCTGCCCTTTCCCTTGCTGTCAAAGCAATTACCGGATAGTAATAAAAGTAAAGGCTAGTTGTGAGCTCATATTTTTATCGTTTATATTATGTTGACTTGTACAAGCACAAACCATGCTCAGCAGTTAGGATGAGACAGTGATGTTTTGTAAAAAATACAAGTAATTTTCAAAAAGAAGAAATAGAAAAAAATCCATATTAAAGTGTGTTAGGTAAAGGAAAAAAACAACCAGTCATGTACTTCCTCTTACTACAACTGGGGACATGTCATACAGTGGGAATTATTTCCTTCATGTTTTGTTATTTTAAGTTGCTATTCCCCTATACAAAGAAAAAGATAAAGAATGGCCTTCTCCATAGGACAAATTCTGAACCAGTAGCCCTGAAACACTGAATTTTAGACTGTGCGTTCTCCTTCAAATGTTTTGCTGGCAAAAAGGCCTGTCTCCCTCTGGCCACGTCAGTTTGTGTGTCTGTGGTGGAGAAACGAAGCTGGTTCTCTCTGAAGAGAGAGTTGGCTCAATCAGGTTCTGCCCCTAAGAAGTGATGGCTAAGTTGCCTGTTTTTTCCCTCCTTCTCCCCCAAGTTTCAGATATTTAGAAGTCAGTGTCAACCCCAACACAAGCCATCAACAAGATTCTGGGCATTTCGAGAGGAGGTATTTCTTGGTTAAGTAGAAATTTATGAGATAGCCTCTGGAAAGGCCTTCATCTCAAGCAGCTTTATAATGAAGTCCCTCATTTAGAAGTTTGTCCATCTTTCTTCAGGCTGCTGTCAGCTCCATTCACTGAGTAGAACTTGGATTGATCAAGGGGACCCAGGGTGCTCCAGGGTCTGAGTTATTCTTTCTGCCTCAACAATATCTGGATTGAACAAAGCACAGCTGCTCCCAGTGCCTCCAGTAATACATAGAGGAGCACCAAGCTGGGGTGCTTCTAGGCCTGACTGAGGATCTGGTGAAGTGCAGCTGTGGGTGAGGCCTCCTTCTAATTGGAGAGGAAGACTCAGTCTCTGCTCCTCCCCCCTCCAACTCCCCCTCCCCTTGCAAGGCTTCATTAACATCACAGGCAGGTTCTAAGCACATTGCCCGTTCACTGATAGGACACGAGCTGTGGCTGATGTCTCTGAGGCTATATTCTTCCTCTTACAGGAGATAGACCCTCTGGTATAAAAATGACCTTCTCCAAAAGACAAACTCTGAACCAACAGCCTCCGAGACACTGAATTTCTATCATCATTTTAGACTGTAAATTCTCCTTAAAATGCTTTTCTTCTCTGTGCACTGGTTTGATTGATATGGTTATTAAATGTCCTAACAGTGACCAAGTCAGGCTCAGTACAGAGGGGTGCCTTAGCTAGCTGTAGGGTGAATGGATTAACCCGGAATTCTGTGCCCCTGGCCTCAGTGACTGTAACTCGTGGCCTTAACTGCAAAAGGTACTTGGGAAAATGGGCATGGGGCCCATGTGCCGATTATGGACATGCAGAGTATGGGTGTAGACATGCGTGACTGTGCACATCTGGGCCTAGAGGTGGGGTATAAAGGTGGAGGCACTCAGACATGAGGCAGCTCCAGGGAGATGAGTGACTGCAGTAGATGCGAGACCACAAGACAACACGAGAGAAAGAGCATAAAGATTCATGGCTGGCTGGGGGCCTGGCTGCCTGCCTGCCTCCCAGTCCCCACTCTTGCCTGGCCCAGGCCTGCCTCCTTGCCCCTGCCTGGTGTGCCCGTGACCTGCTTCCCTGAGAGCATTAAAGCCTGAAAAATCACCGAGGGCGCCAGGATCTCCTTTACCCACCTGCCCAGGACCATAGTGAACCTGCCCTGTGCCGCTGGCCCTACACTGGCTGTGTGAACAAATGACAGTGACTTTTACTCTTGTCCCTTTAGTTGTGCTCTCTACACAGTAAATGACAGTCCTCAGTGAAAGGTAGAGGTGAACGTGGGAGAGCTGTTGGCTAGGATGTGGCTGGCATCTCCTGATAATTGGGAGCAGGAGGTTGTGGCATATACTGTGCAAGGTGGTTTGCCTCTTGTGGGTAATAATGTACAGTACCTTTTTCACCACAAGTTAATCAAGAAATACAACTGTAAAAATCATTGCGATTCTAAGCCACCTACATCTTGAGAAAAAATCCATAGTTGGTCTTAATTTGTGGTGTTTTTCTTGTTTCCTAATACAGTGGCATTTTGTTTTCAGGTTTTACTTACTATTTATGCTCTTGGGAAGCTGGTACAAAGCAGCTACTTTCTCTTCTCCCTATTTAAGCAGAGTCGGCAAGGGACAGGTATGTCTATTTCATGATTCAGGTTAAGTTCAAGGAAGAGCCCAGCACCCATTCTCCTGGGGGGTGTTTATAGTTAGTAATGAAATCCTTAACTTCTAGTTCTCCTTTGACTTGTGGGAGTTGGGCTTTATTCCCAAAACAAAAGAGGGAAGACCAGATCCAAGAAATCCCCCAACGTTCATTAATACGTCCCTCTTTACTGAGGAGGAAGAGGGCTGTATCTTAAGTCAAGACATGAATGAGTTGCACCTGTGTGACGGATGGCTCATTTCGATGGCCAAGACCTCCCAGTGGCCCTGCAAGAAATGAGGTCATCTGTACTTACAGTTCAGGGTGAGTGAATTTACTAGTTGGGATAATATCTCCTGCGTGGCCCCTACTAGTAGGAAGGCTCAGGGCCGCTATCTGACCTTCCACTGGTGAATGGTTACATTTTTTCCCCCAAAGTCTCTGGTTTACAAAATCCTATAACCTATTAGGTCACATTTTCTGACACTCTAAGTAGGTACTGCACTGAGGTGGTCACTGAAAAATGGCTCAAGTCTCAGGATGAAGGCGCCTTTCCTACTGTTTAAGCAAATGAGGGGCACGGCCTCTGGTGGCCTAGGGGTTAAGTCTCAGCCTTCATGCCAGTGGCCTGCGTTTGACCCCCAGCCAGGGAGCTGACCCACATGGTGCAGCAGACCGCCCCTGTCTCACCCACTGCTCCCCTCAGCAGTGGATCCACCTGTTGTGCTCCCCACTCTGTCTCTGGATTCTGGTCCTTCTAAGCAAAATAAATTAAAAAGCATGTGAGAGGATTTCTAAGGCAGACCTGTCGGGAACATAGTATGACTACACTGGCATGTATGTGTGATCTTGGGCAACTCACTTTCCTTGAGTGTTATCTTCTAGAAAATGATGTGGTTGGGCTGATTATCTGGACCTTCCCTTTCTTTTTTTGGTGGAGGGAAAGGGGCAGCTATAAGTTGTGTTGGTTCCGAGACTCCTGTATGTCTTTTTTCCTTTGGATCTTGGGATGAGAGGTGAGTCTCATGCATCAAAAAACATGAGCTCCTGGGCTGGAGGGCTGTTGTTTCCACACCTGGACAGCCTTCAGCCACAGAGGCCTTGTGTTGAGAGCAAGATTCCCATCTCAATGCGCTCTGGTCATGCGCAGAGGCACTGCATAATTTGTCAGTGAGCACCTGCTAATAAATCAGTTCTATAAATACTCACCAAACTGGATTTTATTTCAACCTACTGTTTGGCTCTATTCTTGTTGAAGAGACTTAGTTCATCAAGTTTTACCATAGATACTTAAGACTTGTGGATTGAAGGCGCTCTTTCTATTCAGTGGAAACGAAATTTGGTGTCTGTTAAAACTTGAAAAGAAACCTGAGACCTATCATTGGACCCAGCAGACCCACTGGGTGCACTGCAGGCAGCAGAACCTTTGTGGAAAAATCAGTTAACAAGTATGAGGCCAAGGATACACTCTGGAGCCGTTTTCTCCTGGTACAGTCATGAGTGAGACCGGAGGTGCCACACTCCTCTCCGCAATTCTTAGGACTTCACATGGGTTGCATTTGTGGGAGCCAGTAAGTCCACAAGGCCATTTTCTTTTTTAAGATTTTTTATTAATTGGGCCTCCCTGGTGGCGCAAGGGGTTAAGTCTCAGCACTATGAAGCTTTGGGCAGCCACTGCAGCACAAGTTCGGTTCCCAGCCAGGGAGTTGACCCGTGTGGCACAGCAGACCTCTCCTGTCTCTCCCACCCCCTCTCAGCAGTGGATTTCAATAGATCCACCTGGTTTTTGCATAGAAGAACTGAAGTGCAGGCCGTAGTTGGGGAGGTTAGAGGATTCATCAGAGACAGAGGGAGGTGCAGAAGAGGTTGATCTACTGAAATCCACTACTCACAGTAACAGCGGGCAAGACAGGAGAGATCAGCTCCCTGATCGGGGATCAAACTCAGACTGTAGTGGTGACAGGCTGAGACAACCCCTAGGCTACCAGGAAGGGCCCCACAAGGCTATTTTCTTGAGAATCTTCCTAATCAGAGGTTACGGAGAGATGCATTTTCAAGGCAGCTGGAAATAAACTAATGTTGGTGCAATTTCCTGCACTTGTGGACTAGTCCAGGGGCTGCTTCTGAACTGGGTAGCCCAGAGAGCCCGACTTGCTATGGCCTGAGGGTTGGGGGGTTGGTGATGAGTGATTCAGTCCCTCTTCCAGGGCCCAGCTTTGTGGAAACCACATCACGTACAAGCTCTCAGAGGGTAGAGGAATGTCTTCAGGTTTTTCATTTCTTTTCTGTTGTCCACAGCTGCTGCTGTTTGATGTGCTGTGACTGAGAAGTCAGCTTGTCGCCGCCATTGCTATGCCCCTGGAGATGGAGCCCAAAATGAGCAAGCTGGCCTTTGGCTGCCAGAGGAGCTCCACCTCGGATGACGACTCAGGCTGTGCTTTGGAGGAGTATGCCTGGGTGCCCCCAGGGCTTCGGCCTGAGCAGGTAGCAGCCTCAGACCTCCAGGTTCTGTTTTTTAAGATTTTGGTTTTTCAAGAACTTATAAAGATTTCTAGAACATCATTGGCTTATTGAAACACCACCTTCCTGAGTCCTTCATTCCTCTTCTGATCATACCAAATCTTGTCTTCTTAAAGTCCCACCTAGTTTCTCAGTGAAAGTCTTGAGGCCCTTTGGGGAGCAAAGGCCCTTCTGGGAGGTTGTTGGGCTGTCAGAAAAGTCTTGACACACTTTTGCAGGTAGCACCAGAAAATACATTATGATGTTGGGGGGAAAGGATGTCCTGAACAGACTCCATAAATAGATTTTATGGACCCCAACCCCACCACAGCCAAAGAGACCCAAGACACCACGGACTACAAATCCCATAATGCCATTACCCCTGAAGGGAGAACTGTTGGGACTTGAGGGTGGAGTTAAGCAGCCAGGCTTGGTATATAACCAGACATGTGGGCCTGTGGGGGTCTGCTGGTTTTTCTCCAGCTTTCAGCGAGTTATTGGGGTCCCAGCTCTACGAAACTGGTAGGGCACATTCACCAATTTATCTCTCTCCCTGAGTTACTTTGTGTAAGTAAACCCTTCATTACCTTTCTGTGTGCCTACGGTTGAGTCTCAGTGTAAGTCCCTTTTAAGCACATAGGTGAGGACCCACACTCAGACCACCCATTTCACATCAGGGTTGCCCTGGAACAATGACTTTTCTGACAACCCAATATTTTTGCTGTAATGAATGACACTCATGCACCTGTTAACTGGACTTCTGAGGAGTCCCTTGGAAAGAGTGAGAGGAATCTGATCTTTTTAAAAGGAAAGTAATGACAAAAACGTAATGCAAAGAAAGAAGCAGGTTTCTACAATGTGTTTGCTTCAAAAGAGCAGAAATACAGAGCTGTACAAAACTATCTGAAGCTTACATGCTTGACCTTTGATAACCTTGTACAAAAAAGAACCTGTCATCACACAGTGGGGCTGGGGGAAAAAAATTAAGAGATTGAATTTGACACTTAGTATTGGTATCTTAAGAAAGATGAGAACATTCTAGATGCCAGTTTTTATTTTCTCTAAATTCTTTTAACAAAGACCGTGTTAGTAATTCCTGGTGATCGATATTATAAGGGTCGAGGCATAATTTGAAATGAAAGGTGCCAGCTGGTGCTTCTGGGTTATAGTTATGCTGGCTGAATAAGCGTCCCTTATTCGCCCAGGGTTCAGCACAGACCTGACCCACACGGAACTCCTACTCAGTGTTTATAACTATGAAAGCTCCCGTGGCTCACACCGTGGGGAGCAGAGGGGTGCCAGCATATCAGTTAGGAAAGCAACATGTTGACAAACTACTTATGAAGAGAGAAGCCCTTCATACAGCTCAGGATGGTAGGCTTGGTGTGATACGAAGATGGTGACGCTCACAGCAAGCCCCCACCTCCTTTTTCCCTTGAATAACTTTTGTTCTTTCTCGGCATTGCAGTATCCTTTGCAGTTATCATTAAAGGAGGTTCCTTAATTTATTTTTTAAAGATATATTTATTTATGCATATAGAACTGAGGTATAGGCCAGAGGTACAGGGGTGGTGAGAGGACTCACCAGAGACAGAGTGGGGAACAGAATAGGTAGATGTACTGAAATCCATTCTGAGGGGAGCAGCAGGCAAGACAGGAGAGGTCTGCTCTGTCCTATGTGGGTCAGCTCCCTGGCCAGGGATTGAACTCAGGCTGTTGTAATGATAGTGCTGAGACTTAACCCTAGGCCAATGGGGAGGCCCACCTACAGGTAATTTCAAAAGGGACTTCCCTGGTGGCTCGGGGGTTACATCTCAGCATTACCAAGCTATTGGCAGCTACTGCAGCCATCCTCAGCCAGGGAAGTGACCCCATGGCACAGCAGATCTCTCCTGTCTCGCCCCCTGCTGCCCTCATTAATGTCTTCAATAGATCTGCCTATTGTGCTCCCCACTCTGTCTCTGGGGAATCCTCTCACCCCTGGCACCTCTGGCCTACAACCCCATTCTTATATGCATAAATAAATAAAAATAAATCTTAAAAAAATATTAAATGGATTTAGATGCTTGCTGTACACACACTGACATTCTTTCCCCCCACTTTTCCACAGATCCAGCTCTATTTTGCTTGCTTACCAGAGGAGAAAGTCCCTTATGTTAACAGCCCTGGAGAGAAACATCGAATCAAACAGCTTTTGTACCAGTTGCCACCACATGATAATGAGGTAAAATAACAGGAAGAAGGCTAATTAGAAAGAAAAAAAACCTACATTATAAGCATCTCATGAGGCCTGTCATAAACCCAGTCCCACACTATCCTTTCTTCAGCTAAATTTGGGCCAGAGAATACAGCTCTCCATTCTTTCAGAGAGAAAAGGGCATCCGTGCAATAAACTTAACACAGTTGGTTTATATTGTGCTTACAGCCACCCACCAATTACCAGGAAGCTAGAAATTCCTGACACTTCCCTGTGCCTCCTTCCAAAGCCAGGGTTTTACAGGGTTTCAGGCCTGCAGGCTAAGGGCTGTAGAATGTCTAGTGAAAGCACAATTAACAATTTGAAGCCCTTTATCAAAGGGTTAATATCTTTTATTTTTTACTGTTTCTGCTGATAAGAGTTTAAACATTTTTATTTTACTTATTTATGCATACAAGAACTGGGGTGTAGGCCAGAGGGTTGGTGGGGGTGGGGGAAAGGATCCACTAGAGCCAGAGCAGGGAGCAGAACAGGGGGATCTACTGAAATCCACTGCTGAGGGGAGCAGCGGGCGAGACAGGAGAGGTCTGCTGCACCATGTAGGTAGCTCCCTGGGCAGAAATCAAACTCAGGCTAGAGTGGCTGGTGATAGCTTAAAAGAGCTGAGACTTAAGCCCTGTGCCACCAGGGAGACCTGAGTTTAAACATTTCTTATTTAACCAAAAAGAGACTATTCCTTCCAATTGCCCTTTTGCTAGAGAGGCTGCAAGATGTGGTGTTTTTGCAAAACTGCAGGGCCATTTTTAAGTGGAGCTTCAGGACACAGCCCAGCATATTTGTTCTATTTCCTGAAACCTGAATGCTGCATTAAAAGACACTAGGGAAGGGGCTGTGTCCCAGTACATGTTTCTGCTTCCCTCCTGTGAAGGTGCGGTATTGCCAGTCATTGAGTGAAGAGGAGAAGAAAGAATTGCAAGTGTTCAGCGCCCAGAGGAAGAAAGAAGCCCTGGGAAGAGGCACAATCAAACTGTTGTCCAGAGCGCTGATGCATGCTGTGTGTGAGCAGGTAGCCTGTGGGTGGAGGGCCCGGCCACGGTCGCAGGGGTGGCCATGGTGGGGGCGCTGGCGCCTCCAGAAACTAAGGAAAGGCACCTTAGCTTTCTAGTAAATGGCGGTCGGTTTGATGTTCCAGCTGGCGGCTCTGCAGGGTGTGACGGGCAGGCAGGCTGTCCTTGTAAAACATTGGCTGGAATCCCGCCTTGCCTGGGGCCTGAGCTGGAGGAAGGTGCTGGTGCAGCTAGTGTTCAAACAACTCAGAGACGTAATGAAGACATTCCAGTCCTGCTGGCTGTTCAGAGGGGAAGTGAAGGAGAGGAGAACGGCTCAGTGTGAGAGCCGACCCTGTCCTCAGAACCAGTCCACACAGCAGCATTTCTGGGGCTTGATGCTTGCAGTTGAGAATCTCAAATGATCCAGCATGAAAGAGCCTAGAGTCACTAACCAGACAGAGCAAGAATAAAATCCCGACAAACTCAGGATTTCACAGGAAGTGGGAAGGCAGAGAGTCCAGTGATAGACAGGACTATTTTTAATTCACATGCTTTTCTTTTCAGTGTGGCCTAAAGATCAATGGAGGCGAGGTTGCCGTGTTTGCGTCCCGTGCGGGGCCCGGGGTCTGCTGGCACCCGTCCTGTTTTGTCTGCTTCACGTGTAACGAGCTACTGGTCGACCTCATCTATTTTTACCAGGATGGGAAGATTCACTGTGGCAGGCACCACGCTGAACTGCTGAAACCACGGTGTTCAGCATGTGACGAGGTAAAGCAAAGAGTTTGTCCCTTAACACTGGGAAAAAGGAGTTTCTCATAAGCTAACTTTCCACTCTTCCCTTTTATGCAAACAAAATAGAGTTATCTCTTGCTTGGATATTTTGAGATGACCCTGGACATTAAGTGGGGGTGCCCGTGATTGGTGGGAGGAAAGGAAAGCTACAAGTGTATGTGGTTTTTCAAAGATTGATTTTTTATTTATGCATTCAAGAACTGGGGTGTAGCCCAGAGGTATGGAAGGGGTGCAAGAACTCAACCAGAGTGGGGAGCAGAATAGGCAGACTGAATGAAATCCACTGCTGAGGGAGCAGAGGGTGAGAGAGGAGAGTTCTGCTGCATCCTTTATGGGTCAGCTCCCTGGCCAGAGAGCGAATGCAGGCCATAGTGGTGATGGCGCTGAGACGCAACCCCTAGGCCACTAAGGAGGCCCTAAGATCTCTTTTCAGTCCCAAGGTCTCACCAGGGTACCTGACTGCATTTATTTACTATATCTTAGTCTTCTTTAATCAACGACAGTCAACTTTTACACATTTACCTATTTTAAAGTTTTTTCAGTGACATGCTACTTGACCTGTTTAAAAATCAAAAACACAAATTAAGGTAAAAGTGTCTTTAATCTGGAGATGGCCACTGGGTCAAAGGAAGCATTATCCACCCAGGTGCTGCTCACAGACACACACCCAGGTGGTTGTAATTATGTGGACTCCGCACACTGTGTTTCTATTAAGACGCGCTGTGACCACCGTATTATTTTGCGTGTGATGTATTCTTTGCCGGGTTGTGCCCACAAGTGATTAGGGAGCAAACCCCTGACCAGTGAACTGTCTTCAAAGTACAAAATCTGTTTTCTTCTTTAAAGTTGAAGCCAGCTCTGAGTTTCCCTTTTGCAGCCTTCTCAAATCCTGTTCTTGTTCTGCAACCCTATCAAGCTATTTTAAGGTAGCAGTGATTTTTTGAAAGAACTTGTGCCTGTCTATTGACCAGAAAATAGGCAGGTAATTACTTGGCCTTTGCGCTAGTTCACAGTAACTTTCTATCATCCGATGATTGTATATTTCTTTTAAAAGATCATTTTTGCCGACGAGTGCACAGAAGCTGAGGGTCGCCACTGGCACATGAAGCACTTCTGCTGCCTCGAGTGTGAGACGGTCCTGGGAGGACAAAGGTACATCATGAAGGACGGCCGCCCCTTCTGCTGCGGCTGCTTCGAGTCCCTGTATGCCGAGTACTGCGAGACCTGCGGGGAGCACATCGGTGAGTCTGCACCTCGGCCCCCTGGCTCTGTGTGTCACTGGTTAATCTCATCATCCGTCGTTTTTCGTTTGTTTTAAATGTAAATGTAACATACAGAGAAATGTATAGACCGTTCATTTCAGTTTGGCGAGTTTTACAGAGAAATCTAGCTGATTCTCACGACACCTGCATTATCAAATACTGCGCCTTAGCTCCTAGTGGAAATGCAAAGCTAGGTTTCTGCAGGCTTCTGTTGCACAGGCTGATGGACTCGTAATCCTGCTGCATGAGTGCTTCAGTTTAAAGACACTTTATTTAATTTGTATCATTGACTTACTAGCATTGAACTCAGAGCCCCTAGCTCTCGACTCATGACTGAATGGACCTTACCTGACACACACGTTTTCTCTGAGCCACACTCCACAGCCTTCTCTCCATGGGGACACTGGCCGCTACACTTTGGTGCTATGCTTGGGGCCATTGTGAACAGTGAAATCCACTAAATAGTACAAAAATGTATAGAAAACACAGACAATAAATAGCTCGTGAGCAGGTCCCGTGTTTAAAATCTGACAGCTAAAGCCTAAGACAACATGGTTTTGTCAGACCTCCACCGGCTTACATGTATGTCAACTCAAATTTTTGGCCTCTCTGCACATAGCCAAAAATGACCCTGAGAGCCCTTCAGGCCTTGACTTAGAATCACCCATTAATTTTAGGAAATAGATGAACTCACAAATATGGAATCTTTGAGAAATGGTAATTGCACCTTTGTTTCACACCCCTAAAAAAACAGGAACAGCCCCTCACCCTGACTGCCCCCTCATGCCCCGTCTTTCTCTTCTGGTTCTTCCTTGTTTCAAGATTGGACCATAACCTGTTTTTCTACCCTTTCATTCACTTTTTTTTTTTTTAATTTTTTTTTTCAAGATTTATTTATTTATGCATACAGAACTGGGGTACAGACCAGAGGCTCAGGGGCGGTGAGAGGCTTCACCAGAGACAGAGTGGGGTGCAAAACAGGCAGATCGACGAAGTACACTGCTGAGGGGAGCAGCGGGCGAGACAGGAGAGGTCTGCTGCACCATGTAGGTAGCTCCCTGGGCAGAAATCAAACTCAGGCTAGAGTGGCTGGTGATAGCTTAAAAGAGCTGAGACTTAAGCCCTGTGCCACCAGGGAGACCTGAGTTTAAACATTTCTTATTTAACCAAAAAGAGACTATTCCTTCCAATTGCCCTTTTGCTAGAGAGGCTGCAAGATGTGGTGTTTTTGCAAAACTGCAGGGCCATTTTTAAGTGGAGCTTCAGGACACAGCCCAGCATATTTGTTCTATTTCCTGAAACCTGAATGCTGCATTAAAAGACACTAGGGAAGGGGCTGTGTCCCAGTACATGTTTCTGCTTCCCTCCTGTGAAGGTGCGGTATTGCCAGTCATTGAGTGAAGAGGAGAAGAAAGAATTGCAAGTGTTCAGCGCCCAGAGGAAGAAAGAAGCCCTGGGAAGAGGCACAATCAAACTGTTGTCCAGAGCGCTGATGCATGCTGTGTGTGAGCAGGTAGCCTGTGGGTGGAGGGCCCG